TATGATCATAAGCCCCTCCACTCGTTCCTGCAGTAGAATTCAGGAAGAGCTCCACATATCTGTGCTGCATATTAGCTTTATCTTTTGCCATAGCTGCCACAGCATCTTCATGGGTAGCAAATTCAACATCCGCCTCACCAGTAACTCTGCCATCAGGTCCTATTTCAATGTGCACTCTCATGGGATTAAGAGGTGAGAAAAAATTATAAATATCATTCTCAGTGGCTCTGTAAGGTAACCCCCTCATGTGTACACAGTGCCCTGTGGTGCTCTGGAAACTGGACCCACCATCTCCATATCTATGATCAGACATTCCTGAGAAACAATAATTGAGGTCTCTTCCAAATCTATCAGACCCAAAGCCATACCCATCATTATACCCTCCATAGTCATCATAGCCTCCGTACCCACCACCATACGCCCCCCGCCTCATTCTTTCAAAGCCAGCTCCTCTGCCAATGCTATTATACCCTCTGCCAGCCCCTGGCCTATCATAAGGACCGGGACGTTGCATAGTCATGAGCTTTCGAGGGGGGTCATAGTGGGTTCGGACTTCAGCTCTGCTACTCTTGAAGATTTCAATGTACCTGTGCCCTATTCTCTCCTTGTGTTTCTTTAAGGCCTTTTCAGCTATCTCCTGTGAAGCAAACTGCACAAAGGCCTCCCCTGTGCTCCGCCCCTGAAAGTCCACCGGCAGTGTCATCCCATTTGGCACAATTTCCAACCCTGAAAAAAACTGAACAATTTCTTCCTTGCTACAGCCAAATGGGAGTCCTCTAAGGCGGACGAAGCCATCATTGGCCGTATCGGGACTATTTGGACCTGTATGCTTCAACACCCAATCCATTTCAACACTGTTGGACTTGAATACTTCGACATATCTGTGTCCCATGGTTTCTCTGTCTTTCTTTAAAGCCAATTTCACTTCATCTTCAGATTCAAGTTCGACAAATGCTTCACCACTTGGTCTGCCTTCTCTGGTGTAGATGAAACGGACACCTGATGTGCCATTTTGGATTTTGCAATCAGAGAAGAAGCGCATCACTTCCTCGGCTGAGCAGGACCAGGGTAGGCCCCTGACCTTCACCACGAACCCCTCCCTGCCTTCTGTGCTCAGCATCATGGTGACTGTTGGGCTCTTGGTGGCAAGCTTGGCTCAATGCAATTTCAATATGGCTTAAAAAAAATTAGAAGACTATTGTCATGGAAAATTGTACACATTTTTTAAAAGAAACTATTATAATAAAAATGTACATCAGTAGCTTTTTAAAAAGACAGCTGCATAAACAAAAACAATGTACCAAATTAACTCATTCATTCAACAATTATGTATTCAATGTCTATTATGTATCAGGTATAATTAGTGGTGGTTATTTCTGGATAGTAGGATTATAGGACCTTTTTGTTTCAGTGGATTTTACTCCCTCCCTTTTTTGGACATTCCTGCATATTCTAAATTTTCTGCACTGACCACGTATTAACATTATAGCTAGAAAAATAAAAATAACGATAAAATTTGACTGTATCTGACTATGTATGAAAAATTTCATTAGACCAAAAGATTAAACAAAATTAAAAGGCAAACAAAACTCGTAAGAAACAACAAATCCTCTAATATCCTTATCCTTATCAACAAATGAATGCATGCAAATCAATAAAATTAGAGAACTATTAAGGCCTAAGAGACAAAAGGAAAAGACATTACTGGGAGTTTACATATTCAAATATGTTTTAGGTGCCAGGTCCAGTACTCAGCTCTGATATGTAAGAATCAATAATGCCAGAAAGGGCTTACAGTCCTATTGGAGAATTGTATGTCTTCACCAAAGATAAGAGCAGATAGTATAAAGGAAAGATTGGTTGATGAACTGCATCAATTGGAGGCAGAATGCTTAATTGAAACAGGCCATCCTGTTCAGGGATCCATAAATAAATTTTTAGAACTTCACAGGAGCACAAAATGGAAGAGGGGACAAAATCAAAAGACAAGGCTGGTAAGGAGAACAGAACCTGAGGGGTCTGTTGAATATACTGATGTAAGACTCTTGTACAATTCACAGGCATGATGATTCGGTACCTCTCTCAAACCCTATTATAACATTGGGACATTATCCCACTGATGGAAAAAAAAAACTCCCACACATATATATATATATATATACATATTTATATATGTACATATATATATATATATATAGCCTCTTTGTGGGTTTTAAACAGACAAGTGATGTCATTACAGTCCTCTCACACTTATCACCTAGGCAACAGTGCAGCATATCACTCAACAGAAGAAAGGGAGAGTAGGTGAGTAGGTGAAACGGGGAAATTAGTTAGAAATGACCTCAAGAAAACAGCAATAAAAAAGGGAGAAAAAAAGTGTGATCTACATATGTTAAAACCATGGAATCTGCAGGACTTTATGAAAGATTAAATATAAGGTGAATAAAGGTATTAAAAGTATATAGGGAGCTGGGTGCGGTGGTGCACGCCTTTAGTCCCAGCACTTGGGAGGCTGAGGCAGGCAGATCTCTGTGAGTTCAAGGCCAGCCTGGTCTACATAATGAGTTCTGGGCCAGCTCGGCCTATAGGGAGACCCTGTTTCGAAAAGTATATAGGGAAAAAAAATCTGAGAATATTCAAACCTCATCAATCACAGAAAATAAAGGTTAAAGCAAAATCACCATTTTCACCCATCAAGATAGTAGAAATTAAACAGTGACAATAACTCAACATTATTGAAAGTTCACAAATTAATACACTAGAGTTGAAAACTGATGCACTATTCCGGAAAAACATTTTGGTAATATTTACCACACCTTCTGACAGAAAATCCACTTCAGGTTAAGTACCTTAGGGAGATTGTCTGAAATTAAGAGCAGCACTTAATTGAACTACATATTCTTTGAATGGTATTTTATTGAGAAAAATGGAATATTAAGCAGTCAATATAAAGTTTTAAGTGGTCCAAGTTCACAACTATTTTATAATCTCAACTATGTAAAAAATAAAAAGTTCACATACCCTTTGACCCTGCTAGAATTTCTTCCAGGAATCTGGTCAACAGAAATACATAAAAATGTTCGCTGCAGCACTGTAATGGCAGAAAATTAGAAAACTAAATAGCCATCAACAGAGATGGCTGAATTATATTTCTTCCTTAAAACTGAATTCTATGCAACCACTTCTTAAAGAGAGATCTGCCCTGACCTAAAAAGATTTCCAAAACACATTAAATGAATGAATATTCATAATATAATCCTACTTATACAAATGTGTAGTAAGTGTGTGGGAGATGTGCAAGTACATGCGTGTAATACAAAATTTAAGATCAAATGGAAGGCAAGGGATCAGAGGACGACTTTCACTTTTTATCCTACATACTTCCTTAAAGCTTAAATTCTTTAAACTCACTATATAGAAACAAAATAACAATATTAGAAAAATATAAGCATGTGAAATACACCAACTATTTTAAAAACCTTTTGTGTGTATGTGGTGCACAGGATTGAACCTCATATCTTAACAGTGGTTTATGAGTGACAGGTTATTTTTTTTCAATTTTTTGTGCGATCTTAACCGTCCACTAAAATAATTATTTTAGTGCAATTAATTTTAAAAATTTAAATGATTGCTTTTCTGGGATATAGCACAGCAACTTTTACACAATGTTCTAATTTTGTATATGGATAGTTTATCTGACATGGTCTGGAACCCCGGGGCCTCATGAAAAAGGTGCACAGTGGATTTAATTCAAAATCTACCAGCCGCCCAGTACGTGCCTGCATCTCGAATGTTAACAGTCTTCCCACAAGTCATCCTTAATTCTCAGTGACGGATCATCCCAGGGACCGTGGTGCTGATTTCTACCCTACTTTGTGCCTCAACAGGGCCTCTGGAGTGGCTGGAAGGTTTTGCTTCCTTACTACATTTCCTGATTAGGCCACCAGAACCCTGTTACCTAACGTAAAAACCAGGATTTTGTGAGTTAAGAATTTGTGTACTTATACATGTGTTACACTTACACTTTTAGTAACTGCAACCACTAGAGTTGAGTAGCGCTGAACTGTGTCTCTTTTAAACGAATATATTACTTTTTCAAATGATCAAAATTCAACACGCAGTTTGTTATAAGCAGAAAAACAAACGTTCAAATAATTAAGTGAAAACATTTATTGGGCGCTTCTCGAGCACGCATCACTTGCCTAGCTCTGACTCTTAAGGATATAATTCACTTGGGGCCTTTCGCAACAATAGGGCAGTTATGGTACTTTGAGCGCCTGAAAGGATGGAGCCGAACTCCGCTGGTCTTAGGGTTTTTTTGTTGTTGTTGTTTTTTTTTTTCCTAACTCGAGGCCGTGTTTTTTCCAATGCTTTTCATCTTACGGGTCCCTCTTGCGGGGAGAAGGAGGGGAGGTCCCCTAAGACTGGCCCGCACAGACCGATTTACAAAAACACGCACACAGTCACGACCGTCCACCATTTCCCCACCAGGCGCAGCACAGGCCGCTTCCCGGCACTCGGGGAGGGGGAAGGGGGAAGGGGGAGGGAGAAGGAAGGGGGGGAGTCAAGCAAGAAAAAGGCGGAGGCGGCCCCAAGACCCCGCTCTGCTCTTCCTTATCACCACCCCAGGGTCCCCAGTTTCCACCCACACACCAACCTCTAACGAGACCGGGAAATTTTCCTCCTTCTTCCCTCAAATGGCTATAGCGAGACGATAGACGACGACGAGAACTACTTCTGCTCACGTAAGCGATTGATCACGTGAGCGCCTACGTCATGTGAGATCTCGGTCACGTGAGCAACTCTCGGCTTTAACTCGGGATCACTGAGGTGCCGCACTTCCTTCTTATTTGGAAATGGGGTGGGCCAATGTGAAGAGAGGGCCAGTATGATTGGTTAATGGTACGTCTTACGTGATTGATCATTGGTCCACCTCTAGAGATAACCGTCCAGTTGCCAGAGAAACGATGGCGTCATTATTGAAAAGCTCATCGGTGATTGGTCTGCCCCACGGGTAAACTTAAGCAGAGGTTACCTGCAGGAAACTGTACACTAGAATTCCCTGTGACCATGAAGCTTTGGAGTGGAGAACTGTGGCTAAGCTACGAGCTTGCGCTTCGCCCCTTGACTTTAGTTTTCTGGGGCATTCTTGGGGCCAGGGCGTTGGACAATGGCTTGGCAAGGACTCCTACTATGGGCTGGCTGCACTGGGAGCGTTTCGTGTGCAACCTTGACTGCCAGGAAGAGCCTGACTCCTGCATCAGGTATCAGATACCGAGTGATCCTTTCCCTTTCCCTTCCGTGTATTCGTGTGGATGTACTTGGTGGAACGAATGAGAACATTTGAGCTTGAGGGCTAGATACCCTACTTTTGCTGCTTTTTTTATCCCCAGCAAAATAGCTTGGATCCAGACTAACCCTAAACTTTGAGCCTCTCGGGGGTGGAAGTTAAGCCAACAGTCAACACTTCATTCTCGCTCCATCCCTCCCTGCACTGTAACCCTGCTAGGGGGTTTCTTAATTTGCTTTCTGGTTCCATTGAGATCCTTCTTGTGGGCTTCTGCTCTTTGTCTAGTACTAGCCTTGAGCTAGCGGGAAGCACAGCTGGAGTGGGTAGGAGGGTGACTAAGACCAATGTCATTTCTTCTTTTGGGATTATGGGTTCTTTGGCTGTAATTGAAGCGAGTTAGAGAAGCCATGGGATCTCTGAGATGTCCTTCAGCCCTTTTCCCTTGAGTGGCTGAAAGGTTGACCTGAAGGAACATTACACATCAAAAAGGTGAGAGTTGAGACTGGATTAAACCTATCTGATGCTCCTGCTTGTAAATTGGGATAATATCTTTTTTTAACTCAGGGAACTGACTCTGTAAGAGCTATAAAATAGTTATCTCACACAAGTGAGCTTTCAATGAAATACCCCCACTTAAAATATGACACCTCAATTAGGTAACTAAAACAGATGTCTTTATTCTGGAATGCATAGGACAATGAATTCCATGTTTGCAAATGTATTTTTTTTTCTAGAGAAGAGGTATTTACCTTCAAATTCTCAAAGCAATCTGTGAGCTAGAAAAGGTTAGAAATCTGGTATCAGAGCCTCATGTAGTGGCACACGCCCTTAATCCCAGCGCTCTGGAGTCAGAGGCAGGTGGAACTGTGTGAGTTCCAGGCCAGCCTGGTCTAAACCGCAAGTCCCAGGCCATCCAAAGCTACGCATTGAGACCCTGTCTCAAAAAATACATGTATCAGGTATCAAATATTGAGTGCCTCTCAGATATTATTGAAAACAAGAAAAGGTCACCCAGTGATGCAGCTGCCCCCTCCAAAGGCACCAGCCACAGCCCTCTCTATAAGTTATTGATCTGAATGTCTGTAAAGATAAAAATCAGGATGTTGATCAAACATCACAAAAGAAACTGGTCTGCTAAGTTTCTGACTAAGCCTTTTGTGACCCTGAGATACAATTTGTGGCAACTGATCAATGCAAGTACAAGAATGCATGTTCATTTCACCACCCAGAAATAATCAAAGATGTCCACATGCAACCTTGTATTTGTTTTTATGTAAATAAAAACATTTATCTTACTGATTTCCATTAAAAATGGCATAACAGTTTTAAAAGCTTAAAAAATGGGTGTGGCCACATGCCTTTAGTCCCAGCACTTGGGAGGCTGAAGTGGGTGGATCTCTAGGTTCTATGCCAGCCTGGTCTACACAGGGAGTTCCAGGCTAGTTACGGCTACATAGTGAGACCCTCTCTCAAAAAATGGCATCAACTTTATATATGAGTGGGTAGCCTCAAAACCCTGTTGCCCTGCCTGAATTCAAATTCTACTTCATTGTGACTTTTGGGCAAATTGGTTACCTTGTTTCACTTTCCCTGGGGTGCTGTGCACATAACCCAGGGCCTGTTAGACAAGTGCTCTATTACTGAGCTGCATTCTTAGCCCTTGGTTTTTTTGGGACATAGTCACACTATATAGCTCAAGCTGGCCTGAACTAGAGATCCTCCTACCACCACCTTCTATTTCCTGGGATTACAGGCGTATAAGACCACATCCAACTTAATTTTTTTCTGAATTGGGCAGGGGATGTAGCTCAGTTGATAAATGTTTACCTAGCATGTACAAAGCCCAAGGATTCAAACCCCAGCACGTTATAAACTGGGAACAGTGATGCATGTCTGTCTAACCCCCGCACTCAGGAGGTAGAGGCAGGAAGGTCAGAAGGGTCTATGCTACACAGAGAGTTTAAGGCCAGCCTGGGATACATAAAGCCCCGTATCCAAAATAAATGTATACAGAGTAGAGTGTCTGGCACAAAGCAAAAAAAAAAGAAAAAGAAAAAAAGAAAAATGCAGTATATGTGTATATACTAAAATAATAGTATATGTGTATATACTATAATTTATTTGTGCAATCTTCTGTTCATAGGTACTTGGGTTCTTCAGTTTTTGTATATCTTGCTCTTGATTTTTTTTTCTTTTAATTTTGAGGCAATGTCTCACTCTGTAGGCCAAGTTGGCCTCAAACTCAAGCAATCCTCTTGCCTCAGCCCCCCAAGTGCATAGATTACAGGCATGAGCCACCACGCCAGGCCAGGCTGGATTCTTTTCCTTAAAAGACTAATTATAGGTTCAAAGGCATGCTTATTCTGATACTATCAAACTACCTTCCTCAAAGATTTCACAAAAATATGTGCACAACAATGTATAAAATGCCTGTTTTGAAATAATATGGCCAACCCGGAATTTTGCCATTGAGTTACTATTTGCATATTTCTGCAGCTGTGGAAATTGAACCCAGGGCTTCACATGCCAGAAAATACTATATACCCCAGGCCCTCTTATGTCCATTCAATCGCTAATCAGGTTGAATGTCTTTTCACATGTTAAACTGGCTCTTTGCATTGTTTCTCCTTTGGATTGCCCTTTTGTGTCAGTACCCTTTTGTAGCTCCAATGTCTGGGTTTTTGTTCCATTTCACTTATTTTTGGTGTAGCATGTTGCAAATTCAGGTGCTTCTTGGTATGAGTTTGATGTTTATGTAAGCTGACATTCAAATTCTTTCCTTTATTTCTAGCTTTTGGGTCTTTAAGCCAAGAAATCATAAGGTTAAGGTAAAAAGCAAATACCATTCTATTTGGGTGCGGAATAAATTTGGAAATCAGAAAAAAAAGGCTCAGTTATAAAGACAGCATTCCAGAGAGGGAATGTGAGGTTGAGCTTATAGAGAAGACTTTATGCAACTTTGTATTCTTTGAGGAAGGTAAAAGATCCTGGATATCAGATGCAGGGATCTCTCTGAAATCACTCTTGAATTCCATTAATCTTTGTATTTCAATGCTAAGCTACACTAGCTTCCTTTCCTTTATAGAACATACATATTTAATCTTTTGAGTGAGCTTTTCAAATCTTTTGCCAAATTCCTTCAAAAGTCCTTTGGGGATTTGTTTGGGGTTTTTGTGATATATTGATATTTTGAGATAGTTTCCCCATCTAGTTACAGTTGTAAATGATAACATTTTCTCCAAATAGGTTAGGTTTATTTCTAAGGAGACTGTTGTTTTGTTGTTGTTGCTGTTTTTTATGCCCACTGTATAGTTCCTTCCTCTACTGAACCTTCTTTAGTTCTGTGTAGTCTGGGAGACCCTAGAATTGGAAATCTCCTGCCTCATTCTCCCGAATAGCTGGGATTACAAGCCTGCTGCCACCATGCCTGACTTCTTAGTTTCAATAACATTTTCAGTTTTGTTTATTTCTTTTGTGGCACTAAGAATGGGTCCCAGAGTCTCACCCACACTGGGCAAACTCACTCCCTACTAGGTTGGAGTTCTTAGGGCAGAGGTAGCCAGGGAGGAGAAGAAGAGTAATTACAAGGATAGTTAATTTTACCTTGTATTGGTTGTGATTCCCACATTATTACTGCATTTTTTAATAAATTGTGAAATTCCAAGGTGCCTTAAAATGGGAATACTTAAGCATTCATCTAATAAATTGTAATGATTACTGCAATTTCTTTATCAGTGAGCAGCTCTTCATGCAGATGGCAGAGCTCATGGTCTCCGATGGCTGGAAGGATGCAGGTTATGAATACCTCTGCATAGATGACTGTTGGATGGCTCCTGAAAGGGATTCACAAGGCCGACTTCAGGCAGACCCCAAGCGCTTTCCTGGTGGCATCCGCCACCTAGCTAATTATGTGAGTGTCTGATTTTTTTTTTTCATTTAGGGATGTATACTTAGAGATGCTTATTGAGAAACAGCTCATGTGACACTTAGAAAATGGAATGTTTGCTATTCTGAACAATAAATTCCAAGGCTTATTATGTGGAATTATCATTCCATCAGCCTGTACTTGTGTTGTAATAGCCCCTGAGGCCTATCTTAGAGAAGCAGTATTTTGCTGAAACCTTTGAGTTCTCTAGGAGAAAAAGAGAACTTGGTTGTGTCATATGTGTTCCTGTATCTCCATAGAAGCTTGGGAAGCTGTTGCAACACTACGAATACGTTTTAGAAGCTGGAAGAAAATATTCCAGAAATCGTTGCAGCCCAACACTAGCTAAAAGCAGTGAACATGGATTTTATTCAGTGCTGTTGCAGGAGAAAGAGCCAAGTTCCAATCCAAATGCAAAAGACAAGTGAGAATCTATAACCCATGAGCAAATTGTGGGAGGTCAGTAGATGGAAAACTATTAAAAGGAAACATCGACAGTCAGGGGATAACTTAACTCAGCAGGATTCTTGCTAAAAGTGAACTCTCTAGAACAGACATAGTCAAAGCCTAGTTGGCAAGGAAGCTCAGAGATGCTTAAGTAAAATTTAATCAGTTTTTTTTTTCTCAAACTAAATCTATCGCTGTCCTAGAAAATGAGACCTTTTAGCATCCTATCAGGAATGGTAAAGTGGTTCATAGCTTTCACCTCAGTTCTTCGCTATAGTTCACTTGCAGAGTTAGTTAGAACTGTTTGAGCAGAATTGGGGGATTACAAACTCAACTAGAAAACTGGAGAGTTTTCTGGAACCAAGCCCCCAAGACCTGGGGAAGCACACATCTCTCTTCCCCAGCCTTAGTATAAGTCCCTCTTTCTCCCATTTCACCATTGTCCTCCTATTGTGGTGACTGTTCTCATTTCAGGTCCACAGCAAAGGACTAAAGCTAGGCATTTATGCAGATGTTGGAAATAAAACCTGTGCAGGCTTCCCTGGGAGTTTTGGATACTATGATATTGATGCCCAGACCTTTGCTGACTGGGGTGTAGATCTGCTAAAATTTGATGGCTGTTACTGTGACAGTGTGAAAAGTTTGGTAAATGGTATGTTTCTTTTTTTATTACATTATTGTATGGAATGTGTATGTTGTGGGGAGGGGTGGCATGTGCCATGGTGCCTGTTGAGAAGTCAAAGGACAAATTACAGAAGTTTTCTCTTTCCGATGTGTGGGTCTTGGGGATCAAACTGAAGTCATCAGGTTTGGTGGCAAGCACCTTTACTTGCTGAACCATCTCATCACACCAGCCCAAATGGTGTTTTATTCAAGAGATTTAGCCCTGATAACTTCTTAGCCTTTGGCTAAGGTTGATTGAAGAGATTTAGCCACAGGCAAAAGGAAGGAATTTGAGATGAGAACTTTGAGTCCAAGGTAGCTTGGTTTCTTAAGAACTAATCTTCAAAAAAAAAAAAAAAGAATTAATCTTCAGATTTTATTTTATTATTTTTTTTTGTTTGAGACAGGGTCTCCCTGTAGTCCCAGCTGTCTTGGAACTCACTATGTAGACCAGGCTGGCCTCCAACTCACAAAGATCAGCCTGCCTCTGCCTCCCAAGTGCTGGGATTAAAGGTGTGCACCACCACGCCTGGCTTACTTATTTTATTTGTTTTTTGGTCTTTTTTGAGACAGGGTCTCCCTGTAGCCCCAGCTGGCCTGGAACTCGCTATGTAGACCACGAGGCTGGCTTCGAACTCACAGAGATCTGCCTGCCTCTGTCTCTCAAGTGTTGGGATTAAAGGCGTACACCACCACGCCTGGCTTAGCTTCAGATTTTAAATGCCCAGTCATAATACTAGAAATTATTCTCATTGTGCTAGAACTCTGACCTCCTGTCTTCCAGTTCATTCTCTCATTTATTCATGTGTGTGGAATCCCTACATGCCTAGCCATTGGCAAATACTGTGCATGCTTGGTTCAAGGGTTCTGAAAATCACAGTAACTATAACTTATATGAGAATCCAGGATGTCACAGAGAAAGAAACATCTTTCTTCCTGCCTTTCCTCAATACACACACCATCTCTACACTAACCCCTCAGAGTTATCTCTGTATGGACTTAACCAGGCAACCTCTTAAAATGTGCAGCATCTGCTGGAAAGTCCCTTCTTTCCCTTATTTTTATCCATTGTTTTCTCACACAGGTTATAAGTACATGTCCTTGGCCCTGAACAGAACTGGCAGAAGCATTGTATACTCCTGTGAGTGGCCTCTTTATTTGAGGCCTTTTCATAAGGTGAGCTAGTGAACCCAGAATCTAAATTTCAGAACTTTGGGTACAAAGGAGACAAAGGTCTCCTCCAAGGAAACACTTCTCACCATCTCCACTGCTTGTGATTATAGTCTCGGCTCCCAGCATGTAGGAAATCATCTTTGATTTTTCCTTTTGTTCACCAATCACGCCTTGCTCCTCAACAATCCTGCCAGTATGATCTCTGAAATCTTTCTTGACGCTGTGAACTTCCTTTCATCTCCACCCTGGCCTTCCAGACCACTGTCTCACCCAGACTGCTCCAATAGCCTGATCTCTCTACTGCTCCTTCCCCACCCCCACTGCTTTCCAAGCCGCACCAGAACTGTCTTCTGAGAATGTCAGCGGCTTCCCCTTGCGCTTGGAACAAAATCAAATGCCATCATGCTGGCTCTTGCCTGCCTCTCCATCTTCTGTTTTTGTTTTTTTTTTTCTCACTGTACTTTTTTCTTTCTGTTTATCAAATACTGTTTTTTCCCATTGGTGTATATTCATTGTCCATGGTTCTGGGTTACATAAAGATATTTCATACAAGTCTATAATGTTGTGCTTTACACTTGCTTGTTACTTGTGCCAAGTCTTCCCCCAAGATTTTAAAAGGCTCAGCTCTTTAACACTGAAATCTTGGACCAGATGCCACATAATCAGCTCTTCTCTACTTTAAAATAGCCTTCCAGTCATTCATTTTCTAGCACATTAACTGTTTTAGTTTCCCCAAAAGAGCTCAGCTATACTTATTCACTGGTTTGTCCCTCTCCCGACTAAAATGTAAATTCTATGAGGGTAGGGACCTTTATCACTCTATCCTTACCATACGGGCTTTGTCAACTGTTGACTGTGTATTTATGGAATAAATCTCTGCTATTTTATTAAAGTGTTTATATAGACTTTTTCCTCAGCGTTTTAAACTTCAGGTGTCATACCTGCCTATCTACACTTACTCATTCCACAAATGACTTGCCTAGAATTCAGATTTTCTTGTGTTTGATAACATTCTGTGTAATTTTATAAATCCTTTTACTTATTAAGATCACTATAATTACTTTATTATAGAAATAGTAACATGCTCATTTTAGGAAGTTTGAAGACACAGTAAGAAAAAAAATTTTCATAATGCCAGTAATCTAGATATAGTTTGAATTTCCAGAATAAATAGTACTAAAGTCACTTTAAGCAGAGACTTAAAGCTTTATGGCCTACTTATGAAGTGTATGTCTTCCAGTAAAATTCTCTTATATTCAGACATCTAAAAGTTACCTAAGGTTCATTATGGGGAGACTTTCAGTCTATAGACTACAGAGTCTACCAGTGCCTCCTGTAAATTAGTTTGTTTTCATCTCATAGGGAAGCTAGAAGGTAAAAGGTTCTGTCTGTTTTTACAGCCCAATTACACAGATATACAACAGTACTGCAATCACTGGAGAAATTTTGATGATGTTTATGATTCCTGGGGAAGCATAAAGAATATCTTGTCCTGGACAACAACTAACCAAAAGGAAATTGTTGATGTCGCTGGACCAGGGGGTTGGAATGACCCAGATATGGTAAAGACCTGAGCCCTCCTTGTTCAAAACTTGGTGGTGGTTGTTTGTGGGAGGTGACTTTATTCTTCTTTGGTGGTAATGGGGTCTGAACCAAGGGCCTAGCACATGCCCAGCAAACTGTCTAGCACTGAACTACACACCTCGGAAGAGACTTCTGTGAGTTACTTACATCAGAGTGCTATGGAAAAATGATTCTCTCAATGGATCGTTTAGGGAACTTTAAAAATGTTCGAATAGACATGATGGTACCAGTTTCTAATCTCAGTTCTTCGGAGGCTAAGGCAGAATTGCTCCAAGTTCAAGACCAACCTGGGCTACATAAGACATGTCTTAAAAAAAAAAAAGTTTAATCTTCTCCCATCTGAATGATTTCACTCTTTGTCCTAGTTAGTGATTGGCAACTTTGGGCTCAGCTGGGATCAGCAAGTGACACAGATGGCCCTCTGGGCTATCATGGCAGCTCCTCTGCTCATGTCCAATGATCTCCGACAAATCAGCCCTCAAGCCAAAGCTCTGCTTCAGGATAAGGATGTAATCGCCATCAACCAAGACCCCTTGGGCAAGCAGGGATACTATCTTAGAACTGTAAGTAATGCTTTATGAGAGACAATTGACTAGGAACATATTATCCTGCCTTCTGTAGTTTATGATTTGGGGTATTTTGGGATGGCTTATTAATATCCAAGTACCAAGTTGTCTCGGGCCTAACTCTGCTATGTAAGGATGTGATTTATTTTATTTTCCCCCAGTGATCTTTCCCTTATGCTTCATGATGACTACAAGTGGTTTATAAAGACTGTTACCAGAGCCATTACTTTTATTTCTAAACCATGCCACATGTCAAGTGCTTGATATTTCTACCATTGCTGAATGTCAAGGCATCTTACTGAGTTACCACATAGTCACACTTCATTTCATGACTTTTCAGGAAAACAGCATTGAAGTTTGGGAACGACCTCTCTCAAACTTATCCTGGGCTGTAGCTGTGAGAAACCTGAAAGAAATTGGTGGACCCTGTTCTTATACCATCAAAGTTGCCTCCCTGGGCCTAGGAGTAGCCTGCAATCCTGGCTGCTTTGTCACACAGCTCCTCCCCCAGAAAATCAAGCTTGGCTTCCACGAATGGACTTCAACCTTAAAAACTCAAATAAATCCCTCAGGGACTGTTTTGCTTCGGCTAGAACAAGCCTGAATATCTAAAAGCAAAAGTGGGCTGGACATGGTGGTACACACATTTAACCCCAGCAGTCCGGAAGCAGGAACAAGAAAAACAAAACAAACAAAACAAAACTCTATTTCCTTAAAGTTTCCCAAAGTCAGAACTTTAAAAACCTACTTCTAGAGGTAAGTTTTTGTAAAGGCTTTTGAAACTAGTTGACCATTTCTGTGCCAGACACTGTAAAAGATGCTTCAGGTGTACTGGCTCATTTTAGAGCCAAGCTGTCAACCATACACAGCCTAGTGAGGTGCTTCGGTGGCTTGCTTACAGCCTTAGTCCATAGGGAAAATGAAACCAGCTTCCTCAAAGGATCCAACAAATACCAGGTGGGAAGAAATTTGACAATCTCAGATGCTTTGGTTGCCTGTCACCTAGAGCTAACAAATGCAGAGGAGCTTACTTTCACCAAGGGTAACTGGATAAATCATGACCTAAGATGCCAAAGAACCTCCCTACATTAGATGAACTGTCCTGTTTGGGGCTCTACAGTGGAAACAGTGATCTTCAAACTGGGGTATTCAGGCATAGCTAATTTCAAGCAACATTCTGGTTTCCCACTTTTTCTACAACTGATTGTGAGAACAAGCTGGTAGTCAAGGCTTCAAAGTTCCTTTACCATCCTCATTTATACTCCCCTTCTCACCGAGTGTGGTGACCCATACATATAATCCCAGCATTCAGCAGGACTGCAGAGTTTGAGAGACCAGTTTGGGATATATAGCAAAAGCCTACGTCAAAAAAATTTTTAAAGTTCATGAGGAAAAAGTACACGCCCAATATCCTGAATGTACACAGAACAGTACAAAAAGGCCGATTACAAACTGAAGGAGGATGGGTAATTTTCAGAGAAATTGGAAGATTCAAGTTGATCAATAAAGAAGTAAATTGTTGGGGATGGATTCGGTGAGAGAAGAGGATAATGGGGAAGTGATCAAAGTATATAAACATAAAGTTGTAAACATTTTTTAAAATAGGAACTAGATGTGTATCAATTTCTAGCATTCAGGATGTTGAGACAGGACTGAGTTCAAGGCCAGCCAGCCTGAGCTAGATTACAAGTAAAATTTCGGGGCTGGACAGATGGGTCAGTGGCTGTTCCTACAAATGACCTGAGTTTAGTTCCCAGCACCCACATGCCTGCTAACAAGCCTGTGACTCAAGTTTCAGGGATCCAAAGCCCTCCTTTGGCTTCCAATGATATTGCATGCATGGGCATATATGTATGTGCAGGCAAAACACTCATCCACATAAATAAGTGAAAAAAATTTAAATGTAAAGTCCACCTTTAAAAAATAAGCCCGTGCGTGTTAGCACACGCCTTTAATCCTTGCACCTGGGAGGCAGAGGCAGGCGGATCTCTTGAGTTCAAAGCCAGCCTGGAGTTCTAGGCCAGTTGGGGCTACAGGGAGACCCTGTCTCAGAAAGACCAAAAATAAATAAAAAGCTAGGCATGGTGATGTATGCCTTTCTTGGGAGACAGATAAGATTTGAGCTCCAGGCCACTCAGTGCTACATAGTGAAACCTTGTCTCAAAAAACCAAGAAAAAAATTAGTTTGGGTCAGCAAGATGGCTCAGGTGGCTAAATGCTTGCCACACAAGCCTAATGACCTGTGTTCAATCCCTGGAACCCTTGATGGAAAGACTCCCCAAAGTTGGCCTCTAACATGTATTCACACACAAAAAACTTAAAAACTGTTGCTAGACATGGCAGCACATGCCTTAATCCCAGTAGCACTCAGGAGGATATTTCTCTGTGGGTTCAAGGCTAGACTGGTCAATAAGAGTTGCAGGCAAGCCAGGGCTACTTTCTTAAAATTAAGTTTTGTTAAACCCAGGTTTAAGGTAATTAAAAAACTGTTGCACCTTGCTAAGCTACACTTTTAGCTGCAGTGTATCTGTAGCTCTGCAGTTTTACTGTTGAAATACAAAATTCTAACCTTCAGTCAGAAGTGTAGGATGAGATATATGATTTGAAATGTAACACTTGTTGGAGGCATTTAATAGTCTTACATAATCATCTCACCATAGTTAAATTGCACTTGACTGTGTTAAAAATGTTTAAAGGGGTGTAAATCTAAACACAAGACGTATTAAAAGTGTCCTGTGCCTGAGGTGTCAATGAGAAACTTCAAAATCATTCTGTTCTTTGTGGTCTATTACCTTGAAATAAAAGATTATATGATAACCAGTAACTTGTGCTTTTTTTAAAAAAAGATAACTTTTGTGTGTTGTTTGCATGTATGTATGGGCACCAGAGCCTATGAAACTGGAGTTATAGATGGCTGTGCGCTGCCATGTGGATGCTAGGATCCAAACCTCGAGCCATTTTCTCCAGCCTCAGCTTGTACATATGATTCACTTACGCAGCTAGAGATTTTATCAGCTATGTAAGACAAAAATGATGTCATGCATTAATCTCAGCTACGTTTTTAAAAAGTGGGTAAAAACTTAGATAAAAATCCAATTATACAGTAAGTGGGATGCCAGTGGGTCTGATTAGAAGTACCAGATTAGCAAACCACATTTCCCACGGGCTCAGCAAGACTCAATTGTAAATCGTACTCAGAACCACCAAGCACAAAATTGGCAGGAAATCTGCTGGTAGCTCCAGTTTATTCCCTCCTAAAAGAACCACCACAGCCAAATGAAGTAACTCATGACTTTATTGTCTTCATTACAAAATCAGCTTAGAACTGGATCACTTGGCCCTGTTAACAGAACAGAAAAAAAGTGTTGGGTGTTGTTTCGAAAAGGATCATTACACAAATCAGGGTTGGGGGTACAGCTTGGTAGTTGGGAGGTGCCCACCTAGCTTGTGCAAGGCCCTGAATTCAGTCACCATGCTACTAAAGAATTTCAGATATGGGATATGTAGCTTGTACCTTCAGCGATGATAATTACATTCGAGGACTGTGTGATCCTGTGGCCCAGTGACTAAACAAGCATTTAGCACTATACATGAAACTAGAAATCTAAGAGGCACAATACCTTTCTCTTCTTGTCTCCTCCCAGTTCAAAATGTTTGCACCTCTTAATAGCCAGCATTCTCTTAGATCTGCAGTTGGGCTCCACACACTCAAGCCTCAACACAATCTTCTTTGTAGTTTTAGCCTAGAAAAAAATGAAATCAAATGCCCCATAAACCATCGCATAAAAAAATCCACCTTTTGTCATCATTTGTATTTAGCTACAGAGAACAAAATTAATCTAGAAACCAATGAATTTAAGAGAAAATGTAATCTCAAAACTGAAGTTGGATGGGGTGGTGCATGCCTGTATTCCCAGTACACTGGAGATGGGAGGCAAGGCCAGCCTCGCCTACAGGAGACTTATCTCAAAAATAAAATCATGCTATCTTGAATTTGTGTGAAACAAAGAGGTCACCTAAGTTCAGTTCATGTGACTATGAAATACAGCCTTTGCAAAGCCAAAATGTATCCATCTTCTAAACAAGTTGCATGAATGAAAATGCAGAAGCATTCTTAGTACCCTGAGACCAAGCTATATGCTGCACCAAATTAAGTCACTCCTTTATTTTCTACAACCAGGCTGACTGAAGACCAAAGATGCAGAGTTGTGAGCAAATGCTTCATTCCAGTCACTGTGCTAATTTGAGAGGTTGCTAAAGCTAGAGGAACTCATTCAACCTGAGGCCAGTGGAAGGCTTCGATGGTTACTACAAGGAATCTTAAGATTTCTTTTTTTTTTTTTTTTTTTTTGGTCTTTTTTGAGACAGGGTCTCTGTCTCTGGAGCTCTCCTGGAACTCACTGTAGACCAGGCTGGCCTTGAACTCACAGAGATCCACCTGCCTTTGCCTCCCAAGTGCTGGGATTAAAGGCATGCGCCACCACCAGACGGGCACCTACTGAGACACCGAATAACCTTTTTTGTGGCATTATAAGGATTGAATCCAGACTGGCCCCCATACTTAGCAAGAACTCTACCGCTGAGGCATAAGCAACCCAGCAACAAATTTTGCTGCAACCCAGAGCTGAGGATTCAAACATGCCAAGAGCAAGTGAACCAAGGGACTGACTAGTGTACACATACTTCAGTTCTTAGGAAGCAGGGCACATGCTTTCACCCTTTGGGGAAGTATTGTAAATACTGAGATGGTGAAGACTACTAGTCAGATCTGGGTTGCACTCCCAGCTCCACTGCCTAGATGTCTCTGGCAGCAAGTGGGATAATTTTGCTGTGATTAATACAATACAGCGATGTGTGGGGGCTAGAGACGACAATCCAAGGTTCTTACCACAATAAGCAGGAAAACATGTCCATTAGTAATCCTCACTAACCTTTTTGCGGAAAATAGGCTTAGTCTGCCCCCCGTAGCCACTCTGTTTCCTATCATAACGCCGCTTTCCTGGAAGAAAAAGGTGTTAAGAGATTGTAAAGCAATATAGCCACGTGTTAAAAGTCTTCTGTTTTAATTACGGACCTGTCTGGTCACGCACGCCTTTAATTCCAGCATCCGGGAAGCAGAGGCAGGCGGATTACTCTTGAGTTCCAGGCCAGCTTGGATTATATAATGAGTACCAGACCATTCAGTGCTACAGAGCATGACCCTGCCTCAAAAATTCAAAAACCGAAAATAAAGCTTGTAGTACATTTTACAAATGGCACATCAAAGCCAAATTACTGAGACTGTCACGGGTGCGCATTCTAACAACCCGAACACTGGAGCGGAGGAGGCAGAGGGATTGCTTATTCCAGGCCAGCCTGGATTACATAGCGAGAGTCTGTCTGAATCCCCCAACCTCTACCAAATCACACATAAGCACCTTACCCTGGGCATACAGGGAATCCTTGCCCTTCTTGTACTGTGTCACTTTGTGGGGCTGGTGCTTGCCACATTTCTTGCAGAAAGTTCGGCGGGTTTTAGGAACGTTCACCTAACAAAAATAAAAGGTTCGGAACGTGCAGTTATTGGACAATGGCACAGTGCACTCCGTGGACCCAGCTGAAGTTAATGAACCCTACAACTACTAACACACAACGGTCCTGCAGCACTGAAAGGCGGTCCAGCCACATGGGCCACCAAGCACAGCGCACTTTTGAGTCTCAAAGAGGGAAATGACTTAATAACCGGACCCACTGCTAAATCGTCTCAGTGCTTCAGTTCCTTTGCCCGGCTCCCTCCCTGTCGCTCGCTTTCGGCAGTACTGGGTTTCTTGGGTACACTGGGGTCATGCAAGAGTTTAGACCCACCCTGAGACAGTACCATCCCGGTGAGGCGCAAGGATTAAGCTGGATGCTACCGAGTCCTGACACAGGCTCTTACCATGTTTGCGGGAGCGCTAGCAGCACAGAAAGAAAGAGGCTGGGCCAGAAAAGGAAGTACATAGGAGGTGCCTGGGTGCACTTCCTCAGACCCGTCGGAGACAGCGACAATAGAGTCCGTGAGGATCCCAGAGGAGCGCCCCCAGATGGCTCGGATGATTCGTCAGAGCAGCGGACGCCGGCTTCAGCAAGGGCTCAGCTTAAAGGGCTCTCCTTCGTTACTTCAGCCCTATTGGCAGACTATTTTCTCAGACTATTTGATCTCCAGTACTGGAGCTGAACTAGGGTCTAGTAGAGGGATCCTTCATCTCAGCCTTGCGCTCCTGTCCCATTTGAAGGAGACTAGGGATATATTTCAGGGCGAACTGTTGCTTCAAGGAAAGCTTGACGGGATCCAAATTGCTTCTGTTCATTTCTCACGTGGTCAGTGGGCCCATTCAACAAATGTTTATTGAATGGCTATTCTGCTTCAGGCACTGTTCTAGGAGCGGGACACAAGGATCTAATCAGTGACCAGGTTCAGGCTGAGTGCTTTGAAGATAAAGAACAATGAAAGCAGTACCTTTTAGCCAAAAAAGTAAACTGACTGCTCTTGGTTCTGAAAACTAACAAGGAAATTATTCGGCTTCTGAAATAGCAAAAGTACAGCCAACAGAGAAAACATAGCCACCAGTTCTCCCCTTCCCTTCCCTTGGCAGCAGACATGTGCAAGGTTTTCAAGACAGTCCAGCAGAAAAAGGTTGAAGGATGCTGAGCTTTAAAATACTGTCTCATACAACTCTCACAGTAATTCTAGAAAGAAAGTGACTGTTCTTTCCATTTTACAGGTGAGATCATTGATTCAGGAATGTTAATTTGTCCAATGTCAACAGTCCAGAGTGGATTCAGGATACACACCCCCAGACAGTCTGGGTCCAGAACCTGGTTTCTTTTTACTTTCATACAATGCTACTGTTATGGCCTGTTGATTATAAGAGCTAATGGGGGGGCATCACATGGCCCAGGCTGGCCTTGAATCCATATGTAGCTCAGGATGGCTGTACACTTCTGATCCTCTTGAGTGCTGGGATTACAGGTGTGTGCCACCATGCCTGGTTTATGCATTATTGGAATTGGAACCCAAGGCTTTGTGCATGCTAAGCAAGCTTCCAACTATACTACACCCCAGCCTCAGAGCCTGGTTCCTTTCATTTTACTGTTCCTGTTGTGGCTTGCCAGTTATAGTAGCTAACAATTATAGAGCACTTATACCAAGCATCTACATGTAACTTCTTTTAATACTGACAATCCCAGGAGGTGTTTCCTATTACTAATAGCTACCAAATGAGGAAACTGGGGCATATGAGGCATAAAATTCACTTATCCAAAGTTGCATAGGTAGTTATTTTCAAGCTGGAATGGGATCTTAGGTCGTTTAATACCATAGACTTACACTTAAGCACCATATTACACAGGGGAAGGGGGCACTTGCAAGGCAGAAAATTGGACTAGAATGCAGGAGGAGGAGGTAGAGGTCTAGGGACTAATGTTAGGTACCTTGCAGTATTCTGCTGACTTATTCTGCTTATGTAATGCTCCAGGAGCACCCATGAGCCTTGAACTAACTCTGGTCACCCACATTTTTGTTGCATGGTCTCTGCTGCTAAAATAATGAAAGTACCATTGCTTACTACATTTCTTTGCCCAGTAGTGTTTGCCTGATGTCCAACAGTATTTTCCTCTCTTCAAATTTGTAAGCAATCTCACTGCCTTTAGGAAGTTTATAAAGGTTTTTCAAATGTTAGTAACCTGGAAATATAAAAACAATTGTCTTCCTTTATCTGATCAAACTTTTTAAAAATCATTTCCCATGTGATATGGTTTGGGGATTTTTTTTGTCTACTTTAATATGTTTAGTTGGCATTATTACATATATGCAAAGTATACAATGTGATGATTGTATACAGTCATTTTGTGTAATGATTACCATAGCCAAATTAACACGTCTATCACCATCCATAGTTACCCACCAGTTTGTATGTCTGTGTGCATGGATGAAGATAATTAAGTCTGCTCTCTTACAAAATTTCAAGTAAACAATAGAGTATTATTAACTACCAGTCTCCATGTTATATATTAGATCCCCAGAAGTTTTCTTTCTTTCTTTCTTTTTTGAGACAGGGGCTCGCTATGTAGCCCTGGCTGGCCTGAAACTTGCTATGTAGACCAGGCTGTCCTTGAACTCAGAGAGATTTGCCTGCTCTACCTCCCAAGTACTGGGATTAAAAGTGTGTTCCACCATACCTGACAACTTATTTATCTTATAATGCAAAATTCGTTTACCAGTCCTCTTTTTTGGGCAGGCCTCTGTTCATTAATTTCCCCTATAATGATGCACTTAGAACTTAGCACAGGATTCTAAGTATGGTCTGGCTTTGAACAGTGTGTGCCACATTCACTTTTCTCTAAGCATTTTACTTCTATAAGAAAGCCCATCATTTCTTGGCTTTTCTGTCAGCCATGTTACTAACATGATATTTATCTTGATTACTATCAGCAAATCTCCTTCCCCCACCACCGTTTTTACAAGGTCTGCTGCTCCCCTACTTTTACCAGCACTCATTCGAATTTCAGAATTGGGGCCCAATTATGAGGCATCATTCTTTACACTGGTAAAATACCCTGTTGACTTTAACGTCTCAACCCAAATGATCAAGGTCTTTTTGACTACTAATTGCCTTGATTCTGTCATCTAGAGTAGCACACACACCCTTCCTCTATCTACACATTAACTAGGCCACATCTATTCCCCTTCAAGCTGTTTAAGAGAAATACTGAGCAGACAGCACCAACAACAGAACCTTATATGATGTGAGAGTACCCCAGGATTCAAGGTGAGCAAGGAAATCAGTCACCAGGGGCTTTGAACCATCATGGCCTGCAGTAGATACTGCTGGCATTTCCTCAAGAATCCTCTAACAGAATATTGAAGCTAGAACATAAACTAGGGGCTTCAAATAACACAACTAGTCCTGTTTACTGCCGTACAGGATTAAAAAGAACGGTGCACGTTTTTGCTCTTTGAGGAAAAAAATTGGAACAGAATATCATATGTAGCCTATACATGGAAATTGTGCTACTCCTCCCTCCACCACTCCAATATTTGGGATTATGAGTGTGTTTCACCGTGACCTGGTTCATAAGACTGAGTCTTTCTATTTGTAATTATTTGGTCTTTTTGAGACAGGGTCTCCATGTAGCCCCAGATAGCCAAGAACTCTGTGTAGACCAGGCTGGCCTTGATCTCACAGAGATCTGCCTGCCTCTGCCACCCAAGTACTGGCACTAAAGGTGTGTGCCAACCCTGCCTGGCTATAAGACTGAATCTTAAAGGAAGGAAATTCACAAAAGAACATTCACAAAAAACAGGGTCGGGCACAGGTCTTTGTGTGGGTTTATATACTGGCATTTTTATCTGAAGGAAAAAAATGCTTTCTTAGAAAATGACTCAGCCGGGGAAGTCTTGTCTCTGCCTCTGTCAGGCTATGTACTTCAGAGTCTGTCTGTGAGCCCTCTTTATCCTTTGGGTTGAACTGTGTGATCCCGAGTCTCCCCTGCCTCAGAGGACAGATCTTAAAGACACTCCTTTGTTCTATTTCTACCAGCCTGAGCATCTCTCCTCTCCTTGTGCTGATCATGCCCACAGTCCTTTAGGTATGTTGTCCCTTTACCTTAGGGAGGGTAGTCTGATGAGATGTTTGACTCAGCCCCATCTTAGGGTCTCAGTAACCCCAGTAACAATAATAAAACTTCTTTCAGAGCTGGCCTTAAGATACTAGTGTAAGAGACGTCCCAAGCAAATGAAGGGTGGGGTGAGTTGGGGGGTGGGAGTGGAATAGAGACAGTAGCAGGGAACCAGATACACCATATTGCTGAGAAGAAGAAAAAAAAGACATTGGTTTAAGTCAGGAAACAAAAAAAGGGAACTGAGTGGCTGTGAAAGGGTGGGGTTTGCTCAGACTGTCCTTCCTCTCTGGACTGTAAGAATATGTCTCCAGGGCCAGTGTCTTCAGAGATCGAGTCCCACCTTCCAAGTCCTGGCATCTCATTACATCTGGGAAGCTACCTGCATTAAGGCAGGACTGAGGTGGGTATGGGCCAAGGCAAGGGCTGGGCAGCAGCGGTAGGAACTTTTCTTGGGACCCCAAAGGCCAGATGGAAAGCATGGCTGGTGCCACATATATGCTGGCAGAGGAGGCTGACGGAGAGTGGGAGTGTCACCAGCACAAGGCCCTAACAGTTCTTTCCAGAGATCAGGGGGGCTGTAAGAGTCTTCTGAGGATGACTGGTCAGGTGTGGGGGGGTTATGGGGATAAGAAAAAAAGTGAGCTGAATAGGTAGTGAATGTTTGGTAGAAAAGAAATATTGCACATAGCAGTAGGCTAAAAAAGCAATCCCTTTGGATCAAATATCGCTTAAAAACTCAAAATGTGTACTTGTATCAGTGAGGGCCTCAGAAGAAGGGATTCCAAGAGGCTGCTTTATCGGAGAAAACGTTAAAAGTTCCTACATCTTAATCGGTAGAATGAGCTGGGAAAGGCCCCAGCTAGACTAGGGTGTAGGCTACTGTCTTGGCCTGCAGCAGGTCTATGATTGCCTGGATAAGAGCTGACTTGTAGGAAGGATTCTTTGGAGCCTGGGACAACCTCGTGGTAAAAGTGGGTAGGAGATGGAACCAGAGGAAAGCAGCCTCCACCTCAGCCGAGACAGTGTGGCCAACATCTGAGGTCACAGCGAAGCTTTCTCCACTCACCATGTGCATGGCTGGCTTTTCTCTTGTCTTCATTATTTCTCCTCTCATTTCCTCTCTTCTCCCTCTTCCTCCTCTTCCTTCCCTCTCTCTTCTGTATCCCCTCTTTTCTATATCCAATTTATTATCCAATTTATTTTGTTGATCACCATGATTAGCATGTCCCCCGACGCAGAGTCAGCATTTAATAAATAATCTTTAAATTGCATTAGATTTTTCTTGCCTCTCTCTTCAGGTTCTTTTTCCTTTTGTCTTTACTGCTAACCTTCTTGCCTGCTTTTCTCATAAGACTAGTGCTAGAACTTAATGTGTAAATAAGTGGAAAGTGGTTGAAAGAGGCCCTGGCAATAGCAAGTGCTGTTCATTATTAGTTTTGTTCTGCCTGAGACCTACCAGTGCCTCCACAGGGTTTACCTAGAGGCAAACGGTGTGAAATTTAGAATAAAAGAGGTGGCTGACTGACAATGATCAAGAAAGATAATCTTGGATGAGCTGCCAGACCTCCAAATAGAATCTCAACTTTCTGGCTATCCAGGTCTCAAAGCTGGAAGGTTTATCCCATGCCTTCCAGAGAGAGCAGCCGCAGTTCAGAGGTGTGTGTGTGTGTGTGTGTGTGTGTGTGTGTGTGTGTGTGTAAGAGAGAGAGACAGAGACAGAGACAGAAAGAGAGACAGAGAAACACACAGAGACAAAGACAGAAAGAGACAGAGAGACACAGAAAACACACACAGACAGACAGGCAGAGAGAGAGCGAGACAGAGCTCCAGCAGTCCAGAGGCGTGTGTGTGTGTGTGTGTGTGTGTGTGTGTGTGTGACAGAGACAGAGAGGAACGGACTCCACACAGCGAGACAGAGCTCCAGCAGTCCAGAGGCTGGTGTGTGTGTGTGTGTGTGTGTGTGTGTGTGTGTGTGTGTATGACAGAGACAGAGAGGAACGGACTCCACACAGCTCAGGGGCTGTCCTCTTTGCTGTTAGTAGTTCAGTTCATTCTGTCACTTTGCATGCCAAACTCTTAAAGAACAAGTGCTGTAGCCTTTCTCAGTTATTTGAAATAAGCTATAAATATTCATGGAAACAAAGCATTATACCCATACCTTATCTGCTCTATTCTAACCTATTTATTTTATTTATTTACTTAGAAACAGTATCTTGCCACTTTGTCAAGGCCACGTAGCCCAAACTGGTCTCAAACCTGTGAACCTCCTGCTTCAGCCTCACTTGTTCTGGGATTACATGTATGTGGTACCACACCTGGCCTCACCTTTTTATTCAGACTATTTAATTTGCCATACTCCAAATTGCTATTGCTTGTGGCCATTGATGTTTTCATTTAGAATCCTTTGTAAATGTCTTATGGGGGAGAACTAGTGTAACTTTCCATCCACTCATAGAGTCTTGATACAGTTTTAAATTGTCACTATGATTTGTTATTTTCATTGGATCAAATTTCCTATAGAGTTTCTTGTCATTGGTCTAGAGCCATACCAGGAAGTCAGTTAGGTATAAGGGGAAGATACTGCTTCTGAAAACCAGAATTTGGGTGTTCTCCAAAGAGTCATCCGATAACCTCTGCTTTTCCCTCAGCACTACTGAGGTCTGAAGATAACGGAGGGCTAGAAGTTTGAGTGAAACAGAGCTAAGTAAGCAATTAGAGA